GACAGGGACTGTTGGGTGGGGCGGGGCCACTTTTAAAGGGGTTAAAGCGCAGCAGTCAGGCCTCTAAGGGGCTTTCTGAAAGGAAGCCTAAGCAGGCTGAGCCATCTTATTAGGATCCTCTACTCCCGTTGTTCCCCACAAAGACAAATCCTTCCCGCTCTCGAAGGGCCCATTTTCAAATACTACCCCCCCTAACTGCCCGCAGCATCCTCTTATATTGTCGCCACTCTCCTCCCTGTTCTGAGTTGTTTGCAAAAGTGCCAGGTCTCCCCTGCTAGACACCGCCTCACTGAGAGCTGGAGTCAAGGCGTCTTCAGTTCTGGCCACCTGTGTCTTACACTAAAACCAGGGTTGGAATCAGGCCGCCCTGAGATGGAGTCAAGTTTTCCCACTTCAGCTCTCTTTTCTTCCCTTTCCCGAATCACAGGGCTTTGGAGAGGATGGGAAGAGCACTGTGTGTCAGCCCTCGCGTAACTGCGAAGAGCTAAGCACAACTACGGTTTTGTTTTTTGTTTGTTTTTGGAGACGGAGTCTCCCTCTGTCGTCCAGGCTGGAGTGCAGTGACACGATCTCAGCTCACTGCAACCTCCGCCTCCTGGGTTCAAGCAATTCTCTTGCCTCAGCCTCCCGAGTAGCTGGGACTACAGGCGCACGCCGCCACGCGCGGCTAATTTTTTGTATTTTTAGTAGAGATGGGGTTTCACCATGTTGGCCAGGACGATCTTGATCTGACCTCGTGATCTGCCCGCCTCGGCCTCTCGAAGTGCTGGGATTACAGGCGTGAGATACCGTGCCTGGCCTGTTTTTATTTTCTTGCTGGGACCCATCATGACATGTTATATATCTGTCTGCCTATGAGGGGAGGAACCTTGTGTTCACTGCTGCATCCCTGGTGTGTAGAACAGTGCCTGGCACATAAGAGGTCCTCAAGGTGAGTCACTGAATGAACGAATGACATGTAATTGTATTGATATATGGCTATGGAAGAGGATATGGTTGGATGCTGGTATGCGCTTAAAAGAAAATCCTGCCGGACGCGGAGGCTCACGCCTGTAATCCCAGCACTTTGGGAGGCCGAGGCGGGTGGATCACGAGGTCAAGAAATCGAGACCATCCTGGTCAACATGGTGAAACCACGTCTCTAAAAATTAGCTGGGCACAGTGGCGCGTGCCTGTAGTCCCAACTACTCGGAGGCTGAGGCAGGAGAATTGCCTGAACCCAGGATGTGGAGGTTCCGGTGAGCCGAGATCGCGCCATTGCACTCCAGCCTGGGTAACAAGAGCGAAACTCCGCCTCAAAAAAAAAAGAATAAACTGTGCGGCCAGGCATGATGGATCACACCTATAATCACAGCACTTTGGGAGGAGGAGGCGAGTGGATCACTTGAGGTCAGGAGTTTGAGACCAGCCTGACCAACATGGTGAAATGCCGTCTCTACTAAAAATATTTAAACAATTAGCCGAGCATGGTGATGTGCACCTGTAATATAAGGTACTCGGGAAGCTGAGGCAGGAAAATTGCTTGAACTTGGGAGGCTTAGGTTGCAGTGAGCTGAGATCGTGCCATTGTACTCCAGCCTGGACAACAAAAGTGAAACTCTGTCTCAGAAAAAAAGTGGAGGGGGCTGGGTGCAGTGGCTCACTCCTATAATCTCAGCACTGTGGGAGGCCAAGGTAGGTGTATCAGTTTAAGTTAGGAGTTAGAGACCAGCCTGGCCGACGTGAAGAAACCCTGTCCCTACTAAAAATATGAAATTAGCCCAGCGTGATGGCACACACACCCACCTGTAGTCCCAGCTACTTGGGAGGCTGAGGCAGGAGAATTGCTTGAACCCAGGAGGCAGAGGTTACAGTGAGTCAAGATCATGCCATTACAGTTCAGCCTGGGTGACAGAGTGAGACTCCATCTCAAAAAAAAATGCTGGACATATAGGGCCTAATTATAATACATCTAAACGTTAATTCACCGCAAACTGAGCATGGGACCACCTTGATGAATATTCATAGCACCTCCTATAACCTGCTGAATATGTATGTTTAGCCAACATGTTCAGCATAAAGTTCCTACCCCAACTCCTCCTCCTTCCAACTGCCTGTCTCTGGTCTCCCCTGGGGGTGATGTAGGATATTTTTCTTGACCTCTTTGTTGGACGTGTAATGGTGGTGCCCGTCTACTCAGTCCGCCATACTCAACCCCTTGCGGGAAGAAGCAGGTGAGTGAACAAGGGCAGGATCCAGCTGGCCGCTTCAGGCATGGGCAGAAGGAGGCTCCATCCCCCCATGGCAGTGCCCAGGTCAGGGTGCTTGCAAACCCTGAAGCCCCAGAGGGCATGTTACAATGCTCTATTAGCTCCATTGTCCATGGACAGTGGTGTGTTATCAGCTAAGCTCCTTGCCTTGTTACCTGGGGTGGCTGCCCTCAGCCAGTGAGGGCAAAGGGCCAGTATGATAGCCTTTTTTGGTACCCACACTTGGTGGGGCCCGAGCTCTCATCTGGTGTCCAGGAAGAATGAGGTCGCCTGGATACTTGAAAGATAGTGAAGGAGGAGAATTTTATTAAGCAGTGAAAATGGTTCTCAGCAGAGAGGACACGGGACAGGCGGGTAATCTTCCCTTGGAGTCTGGCGGGCTCCTGCTGGCTCTTCGTTGTAGTCAAGCCATCTCTCCAAAGGTAAGCCATTTCTCCTCTGAAGTACAGCCATTCCTCTGAAGTGAAGTTGCCTCTCTCCAGTCAAGCCACTTCCCTCCCCTATCAGCTGTGTCTGGGGTTTTTATAGGCAGAGGATGGGAGGTGGAGTGGGCTGTAGGTCGTTTTGGAAAAAGCAACATTTGACTGATAAAAAGATACTAAGGCTGGGCGCGGTGGCTCACACCTATAATCCCAGCACTTTGGGAGGCTGAGGCAGGTGGATCACAAGGTCAAGAGATCGAGACCATCTTGGTCAACATGGTGAAACCCCATTTCTACTAAAAATACAAAAATTAGCTGGGCACATTGGTGCATGCCTGTCCCAGCTACTCAGGAGCTGAGACAGGAGAATCGCTTGAACTCGGGAGGCAGGGGTTGCAGTGAGCCAAGATCAAGCCACTGCATTCCAGCCTGGTGACAAAGTGAGACTTCATCTCAAAAAAAAAAAAGAAAAGAAACTGGGGTAAGTATAGAAAGATGAACAAAGCCAGGGAGAAGAAGGTACAGCTCAGGAACAGAGCTCTCTGCTAGGTTCAGAGATGAAGCCAAGGCCGGGCACAGTGGCTCATGCCTGTAATCCCAGCACTTTGGGAGGCCAAGGCTGACAGATCACTTGAGGTCAGGAGTTTGAGACCAGCCTGGCCAGTGTGGCAAAAACCCATCTCTACTAAAAATACAAAAATTAGCCAAGCATGGTGGTGCACGCCTGTAATCCCAGTTACTCTGGAGGCTGAGGCAGAAGAATCACTTAGAATTTGGGAGGCAGAGGTTGCAGATGGTGCCACTGCACTCCAGCCTTGGTGAAAGGTGAAAGAGTAAAACTACATCTCAAAAAAAAAAAAAAAAAAAAAAAAGATGAAACCTAGAGGTCACAGCCAGAAGAGGTGAAGACCAGTACAAAGCCTCCTCTCAAGCCCTGGGGGAAGGTATTTGTGGGCAGGAGCACCTGCAGGTCATCTCCTTGCCTGGGGCTGTCATCACCTTGCTTGGGGCTGGGTTTAAGGTTATCACAGGTCTGTGCCTTCAGGGCAGTTCATGCTCTCCTCCTGACAATGACCCAATCTTTGACCTCCTCCTCTCACCACACAGGGGCTCCAGGTCCCAGCTCCAGGACCCCCTCCCTTTCCGTGACGCCCCCACAACCCTCCTCCAATTTGGGGGAGCCTCAAGGCCTCCCAGGCTGACAAACAACTGTTCCAGTAGTGGAGGGCAAGTCCCAAGGCTGTCTCCAACTCAGTTACCAAGGTCAGGGCAGAAGAGAGAAGAGGTCAGAGGGGAGGAGTAATGGTAGGAAACTCAAGAGAAACGGAGTGAAAGAAATAGGAACGGGAAGGAGGGGGTGCAAATAAAGAGAGTGGAGAGGAAGAGGCACAAATAAGGGAGAGGTAGCAGGCGTGGGCGGCGGGAGGAGACAGCAGGAGGGGCCCATTCTAGAGATCTACTGCACAGATTTGTGACTACAGTCACTCAGTGACTTTGGGAGGCCCGCAGTAGGCAGATTACCTGAGATCTGGAGTTCAACCCTGCTCTTGGTAACATGGGAAAACCTTGTCTCTACTAAAGTACAAAAAATTAGTCGGGCATGGTGGGGGGCACCTGTAGTCCCAGCCACTGGGGAGGCTGAGACAGGAGAATCCCTTGAGTCCAGGAGGCGGAGGTTGCAGTGAGCCGAGATGGCACCACTGCACTCCAGCCTAGGCAACATAGCAAGAGTCTGTCTCCAAAAAAAAAAGCATTGCATATTTCAAAATTGCTAAAACAGTACATTTGAAATGTTCTCACCACAAAAAAGGTAGGTGAGGTGATGGACATGTCAAGTAACTTAATTTCATCATTCCACAATTTCATCATCTTGTAGGCCGTAATTAAATACTTATTTATCAATTAAAAATTTTGAAAAGCATTCGTAAGATGGCAAATAATACGTAATTATGGTGTGCACCTGCAATCATTTAAAAGCACATGTGTTCCAGTTTTAGTAATAATTGTAGTAAAAGGAAAAAAGAGGCCGGCCCGAGCTGCCGTGGCAGGCGCAGGGGGGCAGCAGCGAGCACCCGCAGGGCTGCTCCGCAGGACCCCCGCCCCGCCCCGCTCCGGCCTCGCCCCGGCCCCGCCCATTTAGCTCCGCCCCAGTGCCGTCTCTCCCCGCCCCTGTGCCGCCAGCTCCGCCCCCGCCAGCTCCTCCCGGCTTCCGCCATCCCCATCCCCGCCCCTTTAGCTCCGCCCCACTGCTGTCCCGCCCCGCCCCGGCGCCGCCAGCTCCGCCCCCGCCCCCGAGCTCCGCCCCGCGGCCTCGGCGCCCCGCCCCCTCCGCCCCGCGGCCTCCGCGCCCCTCCCTGCGCGCTCAGGGTGGCTCAGAGGCTGCTGCGGGCGGGCGGGTGCGCGGAGGGCCGGTACCCCGCAGCAGGTGGGCGGGGTGCGGGCGGCGGTGGCGTCTGGGCCGGGGGCTGCCGGCTGCGCTCTGGCGGTGTGCGGCGGCCGTGAGGGCGCGCCATGGACTTCAACATGAAGAAGCTGGCGTCGGACGCGGGCATCTTTTTCACCCGGGCGGTGCAGGTGAGGCCTGGCTCCGCGCGGTACACACGGGGCCCGGATGTGGGGCGGGCGGGGAGCACCCTGCGGCAGACGCCTGGGGGCGCGGGGAAGCCCTCCCGGGCTGCTGCTCCCGTCCCCGCCGCGGGCGCACCTCTGCCCCCTTGAGTCCTTGCTGGCCAGAAGAGGGAAAAAGCCCGGGCGGCCTGAGCTGGGCCTTGGCCCTGCTGCCTGGGGCGAGGCACCGGTGCCCACCTTGGTGCCGGTTGAGTTATCCTGTTCCCCGGGCGCCTGCCCGGAGAGGGGAGGCGGCACCGGCTGGGTCCTACCTCTCTGCCCTTTTCCAGCAGTGACTGGCGCCTGGCGGGGCACTTAGCGGCTTGGGTGCCAGGCCCAGGGACTCATGGTCCGCCACAACCCCTTCTCCGAGCCTCAGTCTCCGCACCTGTGCAATGGGCGGGTGGTGCCATGAGTCCCTCAGGGCCATTTCACACACTTGGATAGTCAGGCCGGAAGCCAGCAGCTGTTTCCTTTCTGCTCCACGGGAGGTCTGTTTCCTTAGTCCCTAGGCCTGGGGGATGGGGAGAGGGCTGGGGTCCGGCTGGGAAGCTGTCCAAGCCCATAATGCTGAGATTGGAACAGGTCCTATTTGTTAGGGGCAGAGAGAGAAACAGGCAACTCAACAACATGGAAAGACCTAGGATCAAGTGTGGGTGGGAATATGCCCTCCTGTGACCTTGGGGGAGAGCCTTCACCTCACTGAGCCTCAGTTTCTCAATCTGAAAAATGGGATCAGTATTCCTGCCTCCCAGGACAGATGCGAGGATTCTGTGAGACTGTGCGTATGTGTGCTCACCAAAGGCAAACTCCTGATTGGTGTTAGCGTGGTTAATATTGCACCTGTGCAGCATGTGACCTTGGGCAAATCACTTCTCTCTAAGCCCCATGTAACACCATGGTTATGGGATTCAGTGGGATTCCGCAGGCCTGGGGCTGGCCCATCCCAGGTTCTGGGAGCAGGTCCTGTAGTGTCCTTGTCGTTGTCACCGTTGTTGTTTCTGTTGAGTACAGTTCTCCCCCCACTCTCAACCCCAAACTCCCCTCCCCAGGAGCCCAGACCCAGCCAGCAACCCGTGTAGCCATGTTTACTAGAAAGTGCTGTGTCCCGTTGAGGATTAGCGTCTCAGCGAGAATTCATTCCTCAATGTGTTCCAAGTCTGGTGGACAGCCCCAGCCCTCGTGGAGATGCCAGGATCTCAGAGCCCCTCGGATTGGACGCCCCCAGTCCATCTGGGAGGGGGGAAACCCACTCTGCTGTTGTTATGGCAACCACACTATCTCCCACATCTGGGAAGAACCTGATCTGCCAGTTTCCTGCTAGGGCTGGGGCCCTGCTGCCTGACCTGGCCAGGGCTCTCAGGGCCCAGGCAGAGCAGGGCCTAGGTGTGGCTCTGCTTGGTGGGGGCTGGCCCACAGGGTCAGCGATACTGGAGTGGGAGCCAGCAGCCAGGCCCCAGCCTCGGGGTGGGAGGCAGGGAGCCGGGAGCTTTATAAATAGAGGCTTTCTGTGCTCTGCACGCCCACCCCCTGCTGCTGCCATCTTCCTGGGAGCAGCCTCGGACTCCAGCACCAACCCCTTCCCCTTGGCAAGATTGGGGCAGAGTGGCTGGCCAGGGGACAGAGGGACCTGAAATGTGACCTGGCAGGAGAGGCCACAGAGAGGCTCTGCCTGAGACCAAGCTGGCCTGGATGGGAGTCAGCCAGGAGGATGGGAGAGGGGTTCTTTATGATCAGTACTTGTGCTGGGCTGGGGAAGCTCCCAGCCCCTGCAGGTACAAGAAACAACTTGAAGAGCATCCCCAATCAGCAGGGAACAAGGCCCGGGCCCAGAGATGAGGCTCCAGAGGGCGGGATCCCTTTTGCATGGGTCGCTGTGGATGGCCTCCTGCAAGGAGGGCCCCTAAACTGTGCGCAGAAAGTAGGGAGGGGCTTGTGACATTGGTCCTAGTGGCAGGAGCACCTCGGATAAGGGCACGGAGGCAAGAAAAGCTAAGGTGTATTTGGACAAGATGCCAGTGGGGGTGGGAGAGGGCAGTAGGAGTGATAGGAGTGACACTGTAAGGAGTAACAGTAATAGTGGTAGAAGTCATCATCATAAAAGCCAGAGCGGTGGTGGCATTGTCATCGTCAAGCCAGGCAGTCTGCAGTGGACATGGGATGGGTGCCCTTTAGTTCGGGAAAGCCTGGTAGAACTTTTTACCTGGGTGGCTGGGGCGGTGGCTCATGCCTGTAATCCCAGCACTTTGGGAGGCCGAGGCAGGAGGATCACCTGAGCTTGGGAGTCCAAGACCAGCCCGACCAACTTGGAGAAACCCCATCTCCACTAAAAATACAGAATTAGCCAGACGTGGTGGCGCATGCCTGTAATCCTAGCTACTCGGGAGGCTGAGGCAGGGGAGTTGCTTGAGCAATTTCTTTTCTTTTCTATTTTTTTTTTTTTTTTGTGATGGTGTCTTGCTGGAGTGCAATGGTGCAATCTTGGCTCACTGCAACCTCCGCCTCCCATGTTCAAATGATTCTCCTGCCTCAGCCTCCCGAGTAGCTGAGACCACAAGTGCCCGCCACCATCCTGGGCAGTAGTTTTTTTTTTTTTTTTTTTGTATTTTTAGTAGAGACTGGGTTTCACTGTGTTAGCCAGGGTAGTCTCGATCTCCTGACTTTGTGATACACCTGCCTCAGCCTCCCAATGTGCTGGGATTACAGGGGTGAGCCGCCACACCCGACCTGTTTTTTGTTTTTTTATGAGTCTTGCTCTGTCACCCAGGCTGGAGTACAGTGGCGAGATCTTGGCTCACTGCAACCTCCACTCCCAGGTTCAAGCAATTCTCCTGCCTCAGCCTCCCAAGTAGCTGGGATTACAGGTGCCAGCCACCACACCCAGCTAATTTTTGTATTTTTAGTAGGCAGGGTTTCATTGTATTGGCCAGGGTGGTCTAGAACTCCTGACCTCGTGATCCGCCCACGTCGGCCTCCTAAAGGCCCAGCCAAGGCTTTTTATTAATGATGGTGATAAGGCCTGACACAGTGACTCACGCCTGTAATCCCAGCACTTTGGGAGGCCAAGGCGGGTGGATTGCCTGAGGTCAGAAGTTTTAGACCAGCCTGGCCAACATGGTGAAACCCCATCTCTACTAAAAACAAAAATTAGCTGTGTGTGGTGGCAGGCACCTGTAATCCCAGCTACCCGGGAGGCTGAGGCAGGGGAATTGCTTGAGCCCGGTTGCAGTGAGCCGAGATCATGCCACTGCACTCCAGCCTGGCTAACAGAGCAAGACTTTGTCTCAGAAAAAAAAAAAAAAAAAAAAAAAAAAAAAAAAAAAAAAAGGTTGATGATAATAATACTGGCTAACATGTATCAGCTCCATACTGTGTGCTGGCCACATAGCCTGTGATTTAGATCCTATGATCTGCATTCTCCAGTCAGGATCTCAGGCCTAGAAGGGAGACTTTGCCTCTCCAAGCCTTGGTGTCTTCATTTGGAAAATGGGGTGAACACCACTCCCCTCAAAGGACTGGGAGGGCATGGTGCAGGGTGAGGGGCAAGGCTGAGCGCCTACTCAGGAAGGTCTCAGTTTGGGGAGTGTGAGGAGAAAGAGGAGGTAGAATCCGCCAGGGTGAGAGAAGGAGGAGGAGGCCGGGAGCAGCTGGCCCCAGGCAGGAGCTGAGGCCACCCCTGGCAGCTGGGCCCTCCCAGCCCTGCAGGGAGAAACCCAAGCTCTGCTACATAATTGATGGCTGCTGAGCTCCGGGTGGCCGCCCAGCCCCCGTCGCTGAAGCCAACTGCAGCCATGGATGATTCACAGCTGACCCGACTCTGGCGTAGTCCAGGCCCTTGCTCAGCCTCAGTGGCAGCATCTGTGAAATGGGAACCAGCCCTCCGTGCATTAGAGGTTGATGAGGTCAAGAGTGAAAACCCTACGGGCCGGGCAGGCCAGCAGTGTTTGCTGCTCCTTATCTTACTCCTGCAGGTCTTCACTCCGGCCGCCACCTTGGGCAAGCCCTTTCCCTTAGCTGGAGAAGGCCTTGGTATCCCCGTCTAGAAAGCGGAGACATGTGTTTCTGGTTGTTCCTAGGGAGCCCCTGTGGCTTCTGCCAGACCCATGGGACATCCCGGGCCCTGGGTGTGCCCAACTGCTGGTTCTGATGGGCTGTCGGTGTGTGTGTCTACCCTCCCAGGTGGCCAAAGCCAACCATTTGGCCATCTCCCTCCTCGCAGTCCCCTTCCTTCCCAGACGTCTCTGCACCCATCAGCTCTGGGCACCAGGGCATTCCATGGGGAAGTCAGGCTGTACCAGACCCAGCCCTTATGTCCACCCATGTCTTTTCTCTTCATCCTCATAACCTATGAGGGAGGTGTTGTTATTCCCTTTTTTCAGCTCAGGAAACCAATGCTCAGAGAAGCAGAGCCCCTTGCCCAAGGTTACACAGCTGGACAGTGGCAGAACTAAGAATCGAATCAGGTTTTCCAGACCTTGGGTTCCTCCCCTCCCTCGCCAGCACCCTCTCGCTAGCAGCTCCCAGATGCCCGTGGAGCTCCCTGATAGCCCCAGACCCTGCTCCATGCCCTGTTTGTCCCAAGCCCTTTCTACCAAGTCTGCTCCACCCGAGTCAGGCTCGAAGGACCCTAGGGCTGGCCTCCCCAGGGTTCCTCACCCCACTAAGTTGTGTGCCAGGTTGTGTATGAATGTACATTTTTGTGGGGAGACAGTCTGTAGCTTTCATTGGATTTCCAAAAGAAGCTGTGATCCGCACACTCTGGTCCAGCCACCTCATTTCACCAAGGGGCAAACAGGGAGGCCCTACCAGGAACCCTCAGGCCGGTTCTACTCCCCCACCTCCTCCTGAGCCCTCCCCACCCCTTGGCCTTCCCACTTTAGTTCACAGAGGAGAAGTTTGGCCAGGCTGAGAAGACTGAGCTTGATGCCCACTTTGAAAACCTTCTGGCCCGGGCAGACAGCACCAAGAACTGGACAGAGAAGATCCTGAGGCAGACAGAAGTGCTGCTGCAGCCCAACCCCAGTGAGTGTGTGCCGGTGGCCTGGGAGGGGTGCCGTCCAGGGGAGGCCTGGCCTACTGTGGCACGGGTAATGAGTGTGTGCTGGTGGCCTGGGAGGGGTGCCGTCCAGGGGAGGCCTGGCCTACTGTGGCACGGGTAATGAGTGTGTGCTGGTGGTCTGGGAGGGGTGCCGTCCAGGGAGGCCTGGCCTACTGTGGCACGGGTATGAGTGTGTGCTGGTGGCCTGGGAGGGGTGCCGTCCAGGGGAGGCCTGGCCTACTGTGGCATGGGTACAGCAGGGCTGCAGGCAGGGTTTCAGCTAGACTCTTGGGCTCAAGGCTGTTTAGGAGTGACAGTTCAAATAAAATGGAAAAAATGAAAGAAAAAAAAAAGGCCGGTACAGTGGCTTACGTCTGTAATCCCAGCACTTTGGGAGGCCGAGGCGGGTGGGTCACCTGAGGTTGGGAGTTCGAGACCAACCTGACCAGCATGGAGGAACTCTTTTTTTGTAGAAACTCTGTCTCTCCAAAAAAAAAAAAAAAAGAAAATGGGAGACTGTTTTGGCTGCTAGACACTCCAGGGCAGTGGAAATACTGAATTTTGCACAGACGAGTTAAATGCCTGGAAGCTAAAACACACGTGGGAGAAGAGGCAGGCAAAACACAAACCTGGTTGGTCTCTTTCTTTTTTTTTTTTTTTTAAGACGGAGTCTTGCTCTGTCACCCAGTCTGGAGTAGCACAGTGGCATGATCTCGGCTCACTACAACCTCCACCTCCTGTGTTCAAGCTATTCTCCTGCTTCAGCCTCCTGAGTAGTGGGGATTACAGGCATGTACTACTACCCTTAGCTAATTTTTGTATTTTTAGAGGAGACAGGGTTTCACCATGTTAGCCAGGCTGGTCTCGAACTCCTGACCTCAAGTCGTCCACCCACCTCAGCTTCCCAAAGTGTTGGGATTACAGGCATGAGCCACTGTGTTTGGCCCAAACCTGGTCACTTTCAAGAGGCCGTTGAGGCCCAGAGATGAAGGCACTGCCCAGACCACCTCCAGGCAGGCCCCCAGGGTCAAGCACGAGCAACCTGCAGGACTTTCAGGGAAAGGAGGGTGGCTCTGGGTCAAGCTGTGTGTCTGCCTGCAAATCTGCTCTGCGGCCGGATAACTTTTAGAGGCCAGGAAGAGGGAATGTGCAAGTATTATATTTGGTAATCATATTGCTAAGGGAGAGGTAGACGGCCCTGGCTTCCTTCTCTGTAGAGTGCTGGGTCCCTCGCAGCAGTTTCAGGGTTGAGGTGGGCATGAGCAAGAGAGTATTCTGGAAGTCAGCAGGCCAGGTGCTCCGTGGGCAGAGCCGGGTCTGGGTCTGTTACTGTTTCATCTTTGGGCTTGGACTGAGGAGCCCTGTGGCTTTGGCTGCTGTCTCCCCACAGGTGCCCGGGTGGAGGAGTTCCTGTATGAGAAGCTGGACAGGAAGGTCCCCTCACGGGTCACCAACGGAGAGCTGCTGGCACAGTACATGGCAGAGGCGGCCAGTGAGCTGGGGCCCACCACCCCCTATGGTGAGCAGGCCTCAAAGCTGGGTACTGGGGGTCATGGGCTCTCGCTCTCGTTCTCCCTCCCTTCCTGTCTTCCTTTACTTAAATAATTACACAGATAATGCCTGAATTCGTTCTAAATGTAAAATCTCAGTCTATGCAGAAAAAAAGGAAAAACTGGAATCTTTTGCTAACCAGTTTTGGTTCGTGTGTGGTGTTTTGTTTTGTTTTTGAGATAGTTTCACTCCATCGCCCAGGCTGGAGTGCAGTGGCATGATCTGGGCTCACTGCAAGCTCTACCACCCAGGCTCAAGTGATTCTCCTGCCTCAGCCTGCTGAGTAGCTGGGACTACACGCGTGTGCTACCACATCTGACTAATACTAAAATACCACATTTGTATTTTTAGTAGAGATGGGATTTTACCATGTTGGCCAGGCTGGTCTCAAACTCTGACCTCATGATCCACCCGCCTTGGCCTCCCAAAAGTGTTGGGATTATAGGCCTGAGTCACTGCACCCGGCCCTGGCTAATTTTTTTTTTGTATTTTTAGTAGAGATGGGGTTTCACCATGTTAGCCGGGCTGGTTCTGAACTCCTGACCTCAAGTCATCTGCCCGTCTTGGCCTCCCAAGTGCTAGGATTACAGGTGTGAGCCACTGTGCCTGGCCTGGAACCTGACTTTTTTTTTTTTTGAGATGGAGTTTTGCTTTTGTCATCCAGGCTGGAGTGCAATGGTGAGATCTCCACTCACTGCAACCTCTGCCTCCTGGGTTCAAGTGATTCTCCAGCCTCAGCCTCCCAAGTAGCAGGGACTACAGGTGCCTGCCACCACTCCTGGCTAATTTTTGTATTTTTAGTAGAGAGGAGGTTTCACCATGTTGGCCAGGCTGGTCTCAAACTCCTAATGTCAGGTGATCCACTCGTCTCAGCCTCCCAAAGTGCTGGGATTACAGGTGTGAGCCCCTGCGCCCGGCCTTGGAACCTGACTTCTGTTGTTGTTGTTGTTGTTGTTGTTGTTGTTGTTGTTGTTGTTGAGATGGAGTTTCGCTCTTGTTACCCAGGCTGGAGTGCAATGGCGCCATCTCGGCTCACCGCAACCTCCTCCTCCTGGGTTCAGGCAATTCTCCTGCCTCAGCCTCCTGAGTAGCTGGGATTACAGGCACGCACCACCATGCCCAGCTAATTTTTTGTATTTTTAGTAGAGACGGGGTTTCACCATGTTGACCAGGATGGTCTCGATCTCTTGACCTCATGATCCACCCGCCTTGGCCTCACAAAGTGCTGGGAACTTTTTAACTTGACATCATATTACAGGTATCTTTTCACTGAAGCATTTACAGAACCATGTCCTTTTTTTTTTTTAATTTTTAAATTTCATCCAAGTATAAGCCATATATATATATATATATATATATATATATATTTATTTTTTTTTTTTTTTTTAGACGGGGTCTCAGTCTGTCACCCAGGCTGGAGTGCAGTGGCACAATCTTATCCCACTGTAAACTCTGCCTCCCCGGCAGTCATCCTCCCACTTCAGCCTCCCGATTAGCTGGGATTACAGGTGTGAGCCACCATGCCCTGCCGTAAGCTATATATTAGAAAATGTGTTTAAGTGTATAATTCATTGATTTTTAATACATTTACAGAGTTGTACAAACATCTCCACAATCTAACCTATTTATTTCTTTTTGAGACAGTGTCACTCTCTCACTCAGGCTGGAGTGTGGTGGCTCGGTCTCGGCTCACTGCGACCTCCACCTTCCAGGTTCAAGCGTCCCAGGTTCTGCCTCAGGCACCCACTACCATGCCTAGCTAACTTTTGTATTTTTAGTAGAGACCAGATTTCCCCATGTTATCCAGGCAGGTCTTGAACTCCTGACCTCTGGTGATCCACCTGCCTCAGCCACCCAAAGTGTTGGGATTACAGGCATGAGCCACTGCGCCCAGCCACACTTACTTATTTTTTGTTTTCTATTATCTTTTTTGAGGCACCATCTGGCTCTGTCTCCCAGGGTGGAGTGCAGTGGTTCAATCTCAGCTGAGTGCAGTGGTTCAATCTCAGCTTACTGCAAACTCTGCCTCCCCAGGCTCAAGTCATCCTCCCACCTCAGCCTCCTGGTTAGCTGGAATTACAAGTGCACACCACCATGCCCTTCTAATTTTTGTATTTTTTGTAGAGACAGGGATCTCGCTATGTTGCACAGGCTGATCTCAAACTCCTAAACTGAAGTGACCCTCTCACCTGAGCCTCCCAAAGTGCTGAGATTACAGGAGTGGCCTCCATGCCAGGCCCACAATCTAATTTAAAGAACATTTCCATCACACCCAAAAAATCCTTCATGTCTATTTATTGCCAAGCCTCCTTTTCACCCCCAGCCAGCCAACCACTAACATGCTTTCCATCTCTGTAAGTTCATCCTTTCTGAACATTTTATGTAAATGGAATCATATGATATGTTGTTTCTTGTTTCTTGCATATAGCTGCTGCTTTTACCTAACATAAATTTTTTTTTTTTTTTTTTGAGGCAGAGTCTTGCTGTGTTGCCAGGTGCCAGGCTGGAGTGCAGTGGCGCGATCTCGGCTCACTGCAACCTCCATCTTGGGTTCAAGCAATTCTCCTACCTCAGCCTCCCAAGTAGCTGGGATTACAGGTGCGCACCACCACGCCCAGCTAATTATTGTATTTTTTAGTAGAGATGGGGTTTTACCATGTTGGCCAGGATGGTCTTGATCTCTTGACCTCATGATCCACCCACCTCAGCCTCCCAAAGTGCTGGGATTACAGGCATGAGCCACCGTGCCTGCCTTAATTTTTTTTTTTTTTTTTAACAGAGTCTTACTCTGTCGCCCAGGCTGCAGTGCAGTGATACTGTCTCAGCTCCCTGCAACCTCCACTTCCCAAGTTCAAGCAATTCTGCCTCAGCCTCCTGAGTAGCTGGAATTACAGGCACCTGCCACCATGACTGGCTAATTTTTTTTTTTTTCAGTAGAGATGGGGTTTCTCCATGTTGGCCAGGCAGGTCCCAAACCCCTGGACCTCAAGTGGTCCAGCCTCCTCAGCCTCCCAAAATGCTGGGATTGCAGACACGAGCCTCGGCACCAGTCTAGCATGATATTTTGGAGGTTTATTCTTGTAGCATACTTTGGGGCATCATCCCTTTTGATTGGCAACAGTATTCTTTCAAAGATAAAAGGATAGACCGCATGGTGGACATCTGGGTTCACTGTTTCTCTGTGAATGTTTGAATAGTGCCCTTGGTGGGGACATGTTTTCACTTCTAGTGAAATTCCACCAAGGAGTAGAGTTGCTGGGTCATATGACAAATTCAGTTTAAGTTTTTAAGAAGTTGCCAAACTGTTTTCCAAAGTAACTGTATGATTTTTTCTTCCTCTCAGCAGTGTTGTTTCATTTTCAGGTATTTGCGGATTTTCTAGGTTTTCTTCTATTGTTGATTTTAACTTAATTCCACTGTGGTCAGAGTATGTATGAACATATTTTGTGTTTTTATTTTTCTTATTATTTTTGAGGTAGAGTTTTGCTCTGTCACCCAGGCTGGAGTGCAGTGGCGCCATCTCAGCTCACTGCAACCTCCAACTCCCAGGCTCAAGATTCCCCCACCTCAGCCTCCCGAGTAGCTGGGATTACAGGCGCGCACTACCACACCCAGCTAATTTTTTGGTTTTTTAGTAGAAAAGATGGGGTTTCACTGTGTTAGCCAGGAAGGTCCCAAACTCCTGACCTCAAGTGATCTGCCTGCCTCGGCCTCCCAAAGAGCTGGGATTACAGGCATGAGCCACCACGCCCAGCCCCATACTTTGTATGTATTGTTTTAATCCTTTTAAATGTATTGAGACTTGTTTCATGATGTAGTATATGGTCTATCTGAGGAATGTGCTAAGTTCCCTTGAGAAGATGAGATGTTATATTGTTGCAGGGCGTGGTATCGTGTAGATGTCAGCAAGGCCACATAGGTTGATGGTGTCGTTCAAGGCTTGTAGATCTTGCTGATTTTGTCTTGTCCTCTTCATTATCAAGAGTAGAGTATTGAGGCTGGTCGTGGTGGCTCATGCCTGTAATCTACTATGCTTTTTGTCTCTAGTACAATTTTGTCTTAAAGTCCATTTTGTCTGGCAATAGCATGGTTCCTGCATACGTGGTGTACTTTTTCAGCCTATTCATGTCTTTAAAGTGTATCATTGGATTTTTCTTTTTTTTAGACAGAGTCTTGCTCTGTCGCCAGGCTGGGGTGCTGTGGTGCTTCTCCTGCCTCAGCCTCCTGAGTAGCTGGGAGTACAGGCACCTACCACCACACCCAGCGAATTTTTGTATTTTTAGTAGAGACAGAGTTTTACCATGTTGGTCAGGCTGGTTTGGAACTCCTGACCTCAGGATCCGCCCGCCTCAGCCTCCCAAAGTGCTGGGATTACAGGCGCGAGCCGCCGCCTCCTTGCCTGCGCTTTGAAGAATTGGTTTGCTGTACGCAGAATTCCTGGATGAAAAGCTTTTTCTTCACTCTGAGTACATCATCTCACTGCCGTCTGGCCTCTGTTGTTTCTGATGAGAAAACAATTCATCTTATTGTAGCTCTCTTGTATGTGCATCAAACTATGTTTTTTCTTTTTTAAAAAAATGCTCTTTCTCTGTCACCCAGGCTTGAGTGCAGTGGTGCAATTATACAGTAGTAAGCTATGGCTTACTCTTGTAGCCTCAAACTCCTGGGTTCAAGTGATCCTCCCACCTGGGCCTCCCAAAGTATTGGGATTACAGGCATGAGCCAGCATGCCCAGCCTCTTACTGGTCCTTCACAGATTTTTTCTGCCTCATTTCCTCCTCCTCTTCTGGCACTCCTATTACTCATATGTTGGTTCACTTGATGGTGCCCCATAGGGTCTGAGGTACTGTTCATTTTTGTTATTATTTTTTATAAAGACAAGGCTTTACCATGTTGCCCAGGCTGGGCTCAAGCAGTCTGCCCACCTTGGCTTTCCAAAGTGGTGGAATTACAGATGTGAGCCACTGCATCCAGCCCAGTAGTTTTCCTTGATTAAATGCTTTTCCATTTTTTTGCCTTGGTCAATTTCCAGAGTCCAGAAATGGATGTTTTTGACACTTGTGTCCAGTTTTCTTTCAATTTGTTTTATTTTCAAAGAGACAAGGTCTCACTGTGTTGCTCAGGCTGGTCTCGAACTACTGAGCTCAAGTGATCCTCCCATCTCGGCCTCCCAGAGTGCTGGGATTACAGGTGTGAGCCACCGCGCCAGGCATGGTGTCTTTCGATTGAGTTTTTTTGGGAGGGGATTTGTCTCGCTCCTTTGACATTCTGGAATTCTACTCTCCTTTCTTCATGATGACCGTGTTGTGTTCCATATGTCGGCTGTCCCGCTGTTGGTTGGTCATTCCCCAGTTGATAGCTCTATAGGTTGCTTCTACATTTTCCCAGGGAAAGCCTTCTGCACTGAGCCCCCCGGCCCTGGCTCTTCAGTAAAGCTCTTCCTGAGTCCTTTCTTACGGCCTGGGGTCAGAGCGGCCCGAGCCTGTGCCTCCTTCTCACCCTTCAACTCTGGTTTCTCAGGGAAGACGCTGCTCAAGGTGGCAGAAGCTGAAAAGCAGCTGGGAGCCACGGAGAGGGATTTTATCCACACGGCCTCCATCAGCTTCCTCACACCCCTGCGCAACTTCCTGGAGGGGGACTGGAAGACCATCTCGGTGAGGGCCCTGGGACTCCTCTGCTTCCTGGTACCCACGGCAGTTTTTTCCCCAGAGCCTTTGCACACAAGCTCTCTTCCCATGCTAGGGCTACAGAACTCCTGGGGCCTCCCCAGAGTGACCTTCTATCTCTGGGCCTCAGTATTCCTGTCTTGACTTGATAGTCCCTGGTGCCAATCTTGTCTTACATGGCTCAGGGTCTCCCAGGGCGGCCCAGGGTCTCACTGTCCCCATGCCCCATCCCGCAGAAGGAGAGGCGGCTCCTCCAAAACCGGCGTCTGGACTTGGATGCCTGCAAAGCGAGGCTGAAGAAGGCCAAGGCCGCAGAAGCCAAAGCCACGGTAGGTGTCCCTGCTGGCCTCCTGGCCCCCAGGCTCTGGCTGGAGCCAAGGGGCGGGGCATGAAGGGACCTGATATTTGGCATGACCTCTCTCCCTCTCCCTCTCCCTGGCTAGACGCCTGGCTGGGGTTCTGCTGGGCTGAGCCTTTCTGTCCCTGCCCTCAAGGGAGCCTTGGTGGCCCCCGAGCTCTGGGTCCTGGGAAGACATATACGGTGTAGACGGACCAGCAGTGACCCCAGCTGGGTGCGGGCACCCCACAGCTGCCCTGCAAGGCAACTGGAGTCTCCTGCATGCCCTGCCCTGCCCTCCTAGATGCTCGGCTCTGTCCCTGGCTCTGCCCGGACATGGCACCTTCTTACTAACCCTACTACTTGCTGCTTGAACATCAGGCCCAGGGTATTTGTGCTCAGGCGCCCCCACGATGGTGTGGAGAACCTGGGAGCTGGACTGCCCACTTGCTCAGGGCTGTATCTGAGGGACCCCATCAGGCAGCCCCATGAGATTGGATAGGGCTGGGGCCATACACCGCCCCCTTCACTCCCAGCTCACTGAGGCCTGTTCAGTCTGGCTGGGTCAATGGGACGCAGCCTGGGACAATGTGACCATGGCAGGGCCAGGATTGGAGGAGTTGGGCCCAAGCTCCTGCACTCTCCCAGCACACCAGGTTGCTTGGGGGTGCAGAGCCTAAAGGCCACCTCACATTTGCAGAGGAAACTCCCAGGCCCAGGGCCTGCTAGGGAGATGGCTACCATGGCTGCCGGGTGTTGGGCCAAGGGAGGCCAGGCCCAGCCTGGGCTCACAGCTGCCCTCAACAGTCCCGGGCCCAAACCTTTCTTAGGTACCCTCCCATGGTGTGGCCTGAGCCTGCACTGCCCCGGTGAGAACCGTGTGCAGGGTCTCAGGTCACTCAAGTGTGTGGGCTCTAGATGGGAGGCAGGAGTACAGCTGGTACAATCTCGGGGTTGGCTAGGGTGACTTGTACCTACTGGGATGACCTCTTCTAAGTCACCTGAATGGGACAGTCTCCCCCGTCATTCAGGGCCATACAACATCTCAGAGTAACTCAGCCAGAACACACTCTTTCTCCATCACCCAGGTCAGGGGGCCTTTCCTGTCATTGCAGTGGTGTGACCTCTCCCTTGCCTGGTGGGCCTGGACAGCTTCACATCCTGGGGTTGGGCCAGGCCACGCTTTCTAGAGCTAGAACCTGGGCAGCCCCAGGAATAGCCTCCCAGAGGACTCCGGCCCTGCAGCTCTGTCCCCATAAGCACACACACACACACATCAGGACTCTTCAGGAGGGCTGGCTGTGTGGCTCCCTCTGCCCAGCTGCCCGGTGCCCCCTCCCACTGGGGCCTGGGGGTCCTGGTCCTGCCTGTGCTGTGGACTCACTAACTCTTTGTTTTTGTTCCTTTCCGTCCTGCTTTGGGTAACTTGGCTCAGTGTGAGGGAGATGTGAGTATACCTGCCCCACGCGCTGTGCTGCTTCTGGTCTGCCCATCTTGCCCGTGGGCCCACGATGCTGTGGCCAGCCCACGTCCTTGGGGCATTTTGCAAGCAGCTGGTCTCCCCGCCAGAGCCTCCACTGTGCAGGGCCTCTGGTGGAGAGGTGCCAGGCGTTGGGGCCTGTGAGTCAGCTTTTGCAAATGTTGAACGCCTGTCACTTTGTCTGCCCATGCATCCATCTGTCCACCCTCATTGTCGGGAGGGGGCCTGGCCCTCGATGCAGGCGCGAGACATGTGGTGTGCGGATTCTGGGATGGAAAAGGCCATGGGTGGGGGTGGGCTGTGTTTGGGGGACTCTGGGGCATCTGAGGGCCACTGGTCTGGGGAGGAGGGGGCTGTGGCCTCTGGCAGGGGAGAGCCCTGCCTGTGTCTTGCTCAGGCAGCCTTGGCCATCTCCTCACTACATCTGCTTTCCTGGCTCCAGTGTCTGCAGCCACTTGGTCTTTGCCTGGACTCTCCAAGTCCCAAGGCCCCCTCACCTCCAGCTGGTTGGAGCCGGGAGAATGGGGTTTGTGTTGTGTTTGTATCCCCTGTCCCTGGGGTCAGGCCTTCTGGCATCTCCTTGTGCAAGACTCTGGGGTAGCCTCCTGGCCTAGACTCTTGCCCTGGCCCAGGGTGACCCCCTCCCCCATGAACTCTGTTCCCCGCCAGACGGTGCCTGACTTTCAGGAGACTAGACCTCGTAATTACATTCTCTCGGCCAGCGCCTCCGCGGTAAGCGCCCCCACCCCCACCCCACCCTCGGCCTCCTCTCTCCCTACGTCCCCCCACGCCACTGCCTCTGACTGCACAGGAGCTAGAAGCCAGCAGGTAAGGTGGGAGCACTGCCATGTGCTCACGCCAGTCCTGAGATGCTGGGGAGGGGCAGTAGCCCCCACTTCTGTCCATGTCCTGGCCCCAGTGCCCTGTGGCCATGGGGCTGGACTTGCTTCCCCCTGCACAATGCTGGAGCTGGCTTTAGCGCCAGCCGCACCAAGTAGCGTGGAGAACTCAGGGCGGCAGCTGTCCCATCCCCAGGCCCCTCCACCTCCCACTGTCTTTGAATGCCAAACCCCTAAAGACAGGAGGCAGTGCCGGCCACTGGATAGCACCTGGGGGGCAGGAGGCCCTGAGGCTGTGCCAAGGCCCAGAGGTCCTGGAGCAGGGCATGTCTTGTCCTGAGGAGGCTCAGGCAGGGCCCCCAGAGTAGGGGTGGGGGGGGTTGGGACAGGAGGTGGGGAGGACGGGATCATGGAGGCTTCGCAGTCACAGCGTATTGGTTTTTAGCTTTCTTGAGATGTCTGGTGTTTCCTGTAGTTTGGGAATTAGGCTACACCTCTCCCTCTTTTAATTTTTTTTTTAAGACAGGGTTTCACCATGTTGGTCAGGCTGGTCCACCTCTCCCTCTTGCTTGTCACCACTGCTGCACCTTGTCTCTGCCCTCTCTCTCTCTCCTTCCTGCCCTGGGGGAGACCCTCACCTCTATTGTGAGCATGCTGCCATGTGTCTTTTGTGAGTCATTCTGTGGCTGGGTGACTGTCCCTCAGGGCACCAACCCTAGTTGGGTCTCACAGCAACTTTCGTGCCCCCGGACAGGGACTTCCTAAGTGGCACAGGAGCCACACGGGCTGGCCATGCGCAGTGGCGTGGGTCCAAGTTCCTTATTTCAGGCTGTGGTCTTGGGTCAGATCTCTGGAAGTGGCAGGAGCGCTGGGTCTCCTGGTCGTGGCCAGGCAGGATCTTCCTTCTTTAGGGTCTGGATGCCATTTCCCACTCCTCCTTGTGCCCCATGAAAAGAGAAACATCCTAGAGGGTGGAGACTGCCCTGTTTTTCTTTTGCCATTGAGTCCCAGTGTGACTCAGGCATGAGGCTGCCTTTCTCTGCCAGAGGACAGAAAGGTTCAGTGACTGGCCCAGGGTCACACGGTCCTGCCTCCCAGCCCACCAGCCTGAGCCAACAGTCAGGACAGGATGAGGGTAACTCAGTCTCTCTTGAGACCCCACTCAGGGTCTGGGCTGACACCATAGAAGAAATACAAGCAGGACTCTTGCTGGCTGCACCCCTCCTGCATGAGGCATGTTACAGGGACTGAGACTGCCAGCCCCCATCTCCCAAGCTGGGCCTCGGCCCCGGCCCCGTCTTAGCTCCTGTTTGGGAGGGTGGGGCAGAGGGGTGGTCGGGGCAGAAGTTGAGTCTGGGAGCTGGGGCAAGGCAAAGGCTCTGGGGTCCAGCTGTCCTCCTCTCCCCTCCCCGCTGGCCGGTCCTGTTGCGATCTCCACAGCTCTGGAACGATGAAGTGGACAAGGTAAGTTGGGGCCTGGGGAGGCTGGGCTAGGGGAAGAAGGGGTGGTGGGGTACAGGCACACCTGCTGCCATGGGGTGTGGTCTTTCTCTGCCCACTTGGTTGGGGTGGGGGGGTTACTGCTTTCCCTCCCTGGGCCTCAGTTTCACCTCTGTGGGGAAACGTTTGCTCCACAGTACCCTGTAGCACACAGTAGGCCCTCAGGATACACTTGCTGGGTGGGTTTCTCACATGGATGATGGAGGGTCTGTCACCACGGCTGCCTGTGCCTGAGGAGGGCTCTAGCTTCTTTGGGGTTGGGGCTCCAGGTATGAAGTCAGGGATAGACCCAGAAGGCGCTCTGCATTCCCAGGGGAAAGGGACAGGTGACTTCCAGGTAGGCTCCAGGGGAAGACTCAGGGAAGCTGGTGGGCAGTGCGGGTGCTCAGGGCTGCCCTGCCCTGTCTAGGCTGAGCAGGAGCTCCGTGTGGCCCAGACAGAGTTTGACCGGCAAGCAGAAGTGACCCGTCTTTTGCTGGAGGGAATCAGCAGCACTCACGTGAGTCTGTCCCCCACCAAACCTTCACTAAAGCCCGCCCCTCAGTAGGTGTGCCTGAACCAAAAGGACAGCAGGACTGCCCCAGAGCAGCCCTCACAGAGCAAGTCCTACTGAGGACGGTGTGGGCGCAGGGGCAGGGCACCCTGGAATGCCAGAGCAAGTTCTGATAGAGGACATGGGTGGGGACTGAAGTTTTTGTGCTGAGAGGGGCAGGAGGTTAGAAGTCAGCCTCTGGCCTCTTCCCCACAGGTGAACCACCTGCGCTGCCTCCATGAGTTTGTCAAGTCTCAGACAACCTACTATGCACAGTGCTACCGCCACATGCTGGACTTGCAGAAGCAGCTGGGCAGGTGCGGCTGGGGCCAGCACCACTGAGCCCATTGAGGTTCCATGGCCCCCAGACCCTGTCTGTGAGCAGCATGAGCTCCCATGGGCAAGTCCCGTGACACAAAGCTGGGTTGGAGGGCTCTGCTGGAACCCACTCTGGGCCTGGGAGGGTAGAGTGGCTGGCCTTGGTGACCGCGGAGTCCCCTTGGGGACCTGAGAGTTTCTAGGGAATGCGTGGGTGGGAAGGATGCAGGGCTCAGGAGTGAGGCCATCTCACCCCTCCCTTGCTTTGCTTCTCCCTTTGTGCTGCCAGCTCCCAGGGCACCATGTGAGTAGCCAGGGCTGAAGTGGCGCTCCGGTGGCTGGGGAGGGGCGTTTGCCTCTGGGGTCCCTTCTGGGACTCCAACCTGCTAAGATGTACCCCTCCTCTCCAGATTTCCAGGCACCTTCGTGGGCACCACAGAGCCCACCTCGCCACCCCTGAGCAGCACCTCACCCACCACTACTGCAGCCACTATGCCTGTGGTGCCCTCGGTGGCCAGCCTGGCCCCTCCGGGGGAGGCCTCGCTCTGCCTGGAAGAGGTGGCCCCCCCTGCCAGTGGGACCCGAAAAGCTCGGGTGCTCTATGACTACGAGGCAGCTGACAGCAGTGAGCTGGCCCTGCTGGCTGATGAGGTGGGCCTGGTGCCACAAGATGGGCAGGAATGGGCTGGGTGAGGAGCAGCCTGGGAGCTAGGATCAGGCATACGGGGCCTGGAGGGGCCCTAGTGGGAAAGCAGGGAGCAGCGGGTTAAAGAGGGCGCCGCCAGCCCTGAGGAAGCGATCCCTGCTCTTCTGGGTCTCCATGGAGAGGTGAGATGAGCACCACCACTGAAGGTGTAGCACATGCCACTGGCCATGGGGAGGTAGTAGCTCTGTCCCCACTTAGTCCTGGGGCCAGGCCCACCCTTGGTCAGACTGTGACCGTCCTCTACTGCCATCTCTGCAGCTCATCACTGTCTACAGTCTGCCTGGCATGGACCCTGACTGGCTCATTGGCGAGAGAGGCAACAAGAAGGGCAAGGTCCCTGTCACCTACTTGGAACTGCTCAGCTAGGCAGATTCCCTCCCAGGCCCCCCTGCCCCCATTCTGGCCTGGGCAGGAAAGGATGGCACAGCCCTGCCACTTACCTTGTTCGTTGGTGACACAGCTGCTCAGGGTGGGAAGAATTCACCCCATTCTGTCCCTGCCCCTGGTCACCTAGCTGTGAGGGTGTCTGAGGCTGAATGGCCCCCACCCCTCCCCTAGCCCTGCTTTTGACCTGTGGCTCTGGAGCCCCCACCCCTGCCTGCATCCCCCAGCGCCTCACCCTCCCGGCTCTACCAAGGAGGGAGGGACTGGCTGCAGCAGCTGCACTCAGCACCTAGGCCAGGGTGGGGCCGCCGCAGGAAGCCCCGAGTGCACTCAGCTAGAGCCCTGCCTTGCAGTTGCCAAAAGCTGCAGCAGGGGAATGCGGCAAGGCACACAGGGCTCTGGCAGCCCCTGGGGACTGCGCACTGCCCCTGGGAGGGGAGAGCCTGGCCAGGGCTGGTGTTGGGCCCGGAGCAGCATCTTCCGGTGCTATCCTCCCCTCCCACCCCTCACAGCTCAAGCCAAGTCTGGTGGCCGCAGCCTCCATCTCTCTACACTCACTTTTTATCTGCTGTTTTTACTTCTGCCTGTTTGCTTTCTAGCCAATAAAGCCTCCTCGTGTGCGAGTTACCTGGGGTCCTGTCAGGGCCTGGGCTGGACAGGGGAAGGGTAGCCTTGCCCTCTGCCCCACTCCTCCTGGGTGGGGTGATCCACAGAGCTAGCAGGGGCCCTGTGGCTGCCCCAGCTTTCTGAGTTGGGAAGTGCAGCCCTCCCTGTCTTCCATAGGGCTTGCATCTCTCGAGGGTAGTGCTGTTCCTGGACATGAAGCTGCATGAGGAATGTTTTATTCCTAAGAAAAAGTTTCCTACCTTTGGATTGTGGAGTGAACTGTAGAATGTGCCTGACAGTTCAAGCTCAAGAAGTGGGTGGTCATCAGTGCTGTCTGCAGGTCAGGCATTTCGCCCGGGACATGTCCCAGAGCCATGGGTTCTCATGCCATCCTCACTGTCCACATTTCACAGATGAGGGAAGGAGATCATCAGCAAGACAATCACCTTAAGAGACAACAGGCAAGCGGCCAAGCAGGGACTGAAGCCCAGGCCAGCCTGATTCTAGAAACCCTAAGTGGTGGCTGTGTTTTAGATGGCCCCTAGCAGGATCTAAGATTCTGACTTTGGTCCTAAGAAGACCAATAGCTAGTAGGCCCCCTGTTGGGGCTCCTGAAGAGGGGATGACGGGGGTACAGGGCTATAAATAGGAAGGCACAGAGCTTCAAGAAAGGCTACACCCAGGAATGAGCTCAGCCCACCGGACCAACAAAAGCAGAACCCAAGACAAGACCAGGGCAGGCCAAGGAAGGGAACATCTGATACCACCTCCCAGCCTAACCCTCAGCCCAAGGACAGGAATGAGGGATGCTGAATTGGCCATCAGTCAATACCCTGCCTCCCCTGAGCCATAGCCCCACTCCTAGGCACCTGGCCAGGGGAGTTTTCTAGGTTCTGAGAGCCAGGTTGTCATCCCTGGGCTTTGGGGTTAAATATCACAGCAGTCTATAAACAGGATTTTTAATATTTGTATAAATAGACCACAGTATTACCAAAAAACTGTAAGGACAGCGTGGAAAACAGATTTTGAAACCCGTGCATAGAGCCTCTCCTGGGCTGCCGCCTGTCCCGTCCGGCTGTGCTGTAGGGAATGCTGGAAGGTCAGGAATGCTCCTCTAGGGGGCGTCTGCAGCGTGAGGGCCTGAGCACAGAAGACTCGGCTCCCCACGCCTGCTGTTGACCTCTTGATCTATTATAAAAATAACGTCAGCAGGCAGGTAGTTGGAGTCGTGATTACTCGGGGAGGGGGTGACTGGAGGTGCCCTCCACCGTATAGGCCCTGGCAGCCGGCAGCACCCCCACTGCTCAGGGTGCAGTGTGGGCTGGTGGAGAGGGGTAGGCGGGCACACAGCACTACCCTATCTTTGCACGTGCCGGACAAATGCTTGCACCAGCTGGATCAGAGGCTCCTGACTCTCAGGGCTGGCTTTGGAGAGAGAGGTGGACTTTCCCTGCGGTGAGGGGAGGACCCCAGTGGCAGGGGAGCTGGGGGCTCCCCGGCGGAAGTAGCGCGAGAGGCTGGAGAGCAGCGTGCTCTACAAGAAAAAAAAGCGGCTTGGTGAGGCTCAGCACATCTAGCCACTGTTCCCAACCCTTGGGGAATGCCAAGCAGGACCCCACAGGGTTCTGGTCCTACTGGCCTAGCCCCCTCCAACCAGCCTTCCCTATCCATCCATACCAACTCAGAGCTGAGTTCCTGCTTCATCCGCTGTTTGTCCCGGGGGTGCACAGCTGGGTCCCTAAGGTACCGCATCGCCTGGGAGATGAGCAGGTAGAAGCAGTTTTCCATGGTAAACATCAGGAGAGACCTAGGAGAGGCAGGTTTTTGGCACTGCTGCAAAGGGCCAGGCTGGCAGGTGCAAGCCATTTAGCCAGAATAGTGAGCCCATGACACTGCCCCACCCCCTTATCAAATCCTAGAAAAAGGGCTTACTTTAATGTCCTGGTCCCTTCTGCCTGTGTGCTGAGCCCCACTGCCTGGGTGAGGGGCTCCTTTTTCTTGTCCAGCTGAAGAGAAGCAAGGGTAAAAAACTAAGACAACAGTAACAGCCCCACTTACTGACAGCCTCCTACTAGCATGTCCTGTACTACACAAATCCCATTAGTTACCTCATTTCATCCTCATAGTAATTCTCATGGTGCTGTCATATTCAGTTTATGGAGAGGAGCAGGCTCAGGAGGCTAGTACCATGCCCAAGGTTGGCTGGGAAGTGGAAGCTGGGGGGAGAGGACAGCAGCTGACAGCACCAACTTACCTCTCCAAGCATGTTGAGGGCCACATTCACTGTGGCCAGAAGGGTCCCGAAGGAGGGGGCCACTTCGGAGTCAAAAGTGGGAGTGGTAAAGCTCAGGGCAAACAGGAAGTTGTATTCAGCAAGGTCCAGGGACTGTGAGACAAGAGCCATCAATCACTCAGTTAAAGCCCCAGGCAGCTCTCTCTGTGCACAGCAGAGCACAGCTGTTAGCGGAAGTGGTGCTAAGCTGGTGACGGCCAGTACCTGATCTAGCAGGATCTGGCAGACATCCGGGGTGAAGTGGCGCAGAGCTGCCAATGTCCTGCTGAGGATCTTGAGAAGGCCGTACTGAACTGTGTGCAAGGCCCGCTGTTCCGATGCCTCTGTGTCAGTGGCAGGCTGCTTGGAGGAGGAGGAAGGGGCAGCAGAAGCAGCAGACGGCCTCTGGACTCGCTGGGCAACAACTGAGGGGAGGCCATCCCCATTTTTGTTCTGGGGAGAGTCAAGAAATAAAGGTGGAACTGGGAAAGCCAGAGTGAGGTATCCCAGGCCCTCACGGCGCAGGACGAGTACCTGTAAGTAATGCTGCAGCATCTTTCGGCTGTGCAGAAGGGAGGTGCATGCCTGGCACAGGTAACCCAGGTTGACCTGGGAGAGAGACAGCAGGGATATGAAGGGATTCTCTTGGCAGCAGCCCAGTCACCCAACTAGGTCAACCCAACAGCTCTCCACGTAACACCCACATGCTCCTCTCTCACTGCTGCTCTTCCCTCCCTCCCTCATGCTCCCTTGGCTACTCTCCAGCTTAAAAGCCCTTATAGCCGCCAGGTACTCAGGGGCCAGCAGGGCTCAGGACTGGACTGTTTCCCTGGGACCCAGCTAGGTGCCTGGTATATTTTAAGGTCCTAAAATAAAGATGATGAGGATTATAGCTGATTCCATTTCTCAGGAAAAGGATAAAAACTTACAAATAGTGGAGTAGTGACTTGGCCAAGGTCATACAACCAGCAGATGACAGAAGCCTGGAGTGTGTCTTCTTTCCCACCCCTTCTCCAGCTGCTTCCCAGCTCCAGGTGTGTTTTGTTTTTTTGTTTGTTTGTTTGAGACGGAGTCTCCCTCTGTTGCCCAGGCTGGAGTGCAGTGGTTCGATTTTGGCTCAATGCAACCTCCGCCTCCGGGGTTCATGCAACTCTCCCGCCTCAGCCTCACAAGTAGCTGGGATTACAGGCATGCGCCACCACACATGGCTAATTTTTGTATTTTTAGTAGAGATGGGGTTTCATCATGTTGGCCAGGCTGATCTCAAACTCCTGACCTCAGGTGATCCACCCACCTTGGCCTCCCAAAGTGCTGGGATTACAGGTATGAGCCTATAATGCAGCCCCAGGTGTATTCTTAAGGTATCTGGACCAAGGTCTAACCGATAAAGTCCAAGTTCTTAACCTACATGGCTGCCCTTGACTATGGAAGGAAACATTTAGCCAGAGTAATCACATGATGCCAAACCCTGTGCTCTCCAAGCGAAAAGCCCACCTTCAGGAACATCCTGCAATTCACTAGGGGTGCCCCAGTGAGGGCTCACAGCCTCCCTGCCTCCAAGCATTACCCCAGACTCCAAGACACCATCTGAGGCTCCCACCTGGATATCACGCATGAGCTGAGGCAGGTGGAAGTGCCACTCCTTCATGAAGTTGGAGAGCTGCAGAATAAAGCCCACGGTGTGGTCCGCCTCCTCCAGGCAGGCCAGACTCTGCACTGTCCTCACTGCACTGAGGCACTGGGAGGAAAGGAGACATCAGGGAAGGATGGGGATGGCTGAGGGGCCTGACATACCCACACCTGCCCTCCTGTGGAGAGGAAACGTCCCCGGCCCCCAAATGCTGAGGTGGCAACACAAGAAATGGTTAGTGGTACAATGAAGATTCTGACCCAAGACTGTTCTCATCTCAGCAGACTGGCTGGCCAGTGAGTCAGCAGAGTACTGAGAGCATCTCAGAAATGAAGGCATCAACACCCCCTGCTACTGAGGCCTAGGCTCCATACCCATCTGTCCCACGAATGGCCCAGAACCTTTTTTACCCTGAGACTCCCACCCTGTGATGCAGGCAGCCCCCTCACCTGTAAGGTCCGCTCTTGGTGAACACCCACAAAGTCCAGGGCCTCAGTCAGGAAGTTGTAGCGCAGGGTTTTGAGCAGCTGCTCCATCAAGGACATGGACAGGCGGTAGACTCCTGGCCAAGAGGGGGCATCCAGAGACTTCCGAGAGGCACTAGGTATCTAAGACACAAACAGCAGACAAACTGAGGAACCCTGCTGACAGGCAGGGCCTTCCTGCAGTACAGCAGCTAAGGCAGCCCAGCTGCTGGGAGGAAAAGACCTCTCAGAATAGACACAGCCACTGCCTGGTGACCAGGGGGCCAAGGCCAGCAGATGCAAGGAAGAGCACCAGGCCGACACAAGATCCAAGGTTCCAGGCTCAAACCTGCCACTCACTAGCCATGTGAACCCAGACATGTCACTACCCTGCTCTGGCCCCCACATGCTTCCTCTAAGGGGTAGCTGGGCTAGATGACCAAATACTTAATGACTCTTACGAGAGGTTCAGAAGACTACTCTTTTGGAATTAGGAGGTATATGTTAAACTAGAAATAACCAAGGGACACAGAGGGCAGGGTGCTGAGGCCCCATCAAGCCCCCACACCACCCGCTTCCCTTCTCCCAGTCCTAGTCTGGTGGGGCAGGGGTGAAGTCACAATGACACACTGTCTTTAGGAGTGACAGGAGATGA